TAAGAAAATAAGAAAAAAAATGTAAAACAATTTTAAAAATTATAAAATAAATAGAAAAATTAAACATTTTTCTCTTCATTATCATGTCTAAAGAGTAGAATTTAGGGGAATTACTTGGCATTTAATTTTTTTAATATAATTTTTATAATAAATTAAATGATATCATTTCATTAGGCTAAAAAATTAATAAAAAAATTTGCTCAGGTGCTTCAGGCGCCATTAAGTGCGCCTAATAGTGCCTGGGCATGCGTAATTGATCTAGGTGGTGTAAAGCACATTGAATTTCTGCCAAGAGGTTGATGTGGGCAGAATGGCATGCTTGGAGCCTAAGCGCCACCTAGGCCCGTTTTTTACAACACTGACCCTAGGAGTTACACCTAGGTTTTTTTAGGCATCACACCTTTAGAGATAGAAAATCCTTAAGCATCATTCCTAAGGTTGGTTGCATCACACAACCAAGATTGTATCACACAATCTCAGAGCACAACATGCTGAAAATTTCTCAATGTAATTGACTAGACTGAATAATGAAAGAAGTTACTAGCATATGTATAATCTTAATATTCCTAAATTAACAAGAAATAGAATTCCTATTCTAACAGGAGATCCTCATAAAATAAAAATACTCAAAAACCTAAGAAATGCTCAAATAAAAGGTCTAATCCTAATGAAACTAGGATAACTAATAATGCACTTAGAATAATAATAATAATTATATAACAATCCTACGTATTGTAAATAACCATTCAATTGCTGCTTCTTGTTCCTTATCAGAACTGGTAGATTCTTTCGAGTTCTTTACCCTGCAGCCTCTGTTTTTTTTTTTTTTGGTGCAAACCCCCCGGTATGTAGAAGCCACATTTGGCTTTGACTAATCTGGAGTCGAGCCATGTTGGACTCCATAAAGGGGGGAAGCTCTCCTAGTGCTTGTCTTTCCTTTTACAAGACTCGAACTCGAGACCTTACTTAAGGGGAACCGAGATCTTTCCACTTGGACCAATAGGTCATTGGTTCTAGCCTCCTTTATTACACTCATTAAAAACTTCCTTTATCATTTAAAATTGTTAACTTGAGTTTTATTTCAAGCAATGTAAGACAGGGAGAAACTCTGCGTCTTTATTCTTTATGGTAAATATTAAAAGAAAATTTGGACATATCTCACTTTATTTTATAATTTTATTCCAAAGCATCAATCTGGAATTTGGAATGAAATTATTGTGTTGGTAACATAGAGGATATGTAATTTATTTCATAGTTTTAACTACCTGTTCTGTCTTGAGAAATGATGCTGAATAGATGTTGATTTGGGGGCTTCCTTTATAACTTTCGTCCTCAAAGATTTTCCAAACTTTATAGATTTGCTATTTTTTATTAGTTTTTTTCATCAGCTGAAGTTACAAACCATGGTATCATTACAAATCTGAAAAGAGATAGTTGTATTTTGATATTCTTGTCATTTAGATTGAATTTTCACTTTCAGGATGAGGAAGATGTGAAGGCCATTGCTCGATTATTTGCTGATATGGGTGATTCATATGTTGAACTGATTGCAAATGGTATTTGTATTGTTATTTGTTCAAATCCAATTTCAAAATAATTGAATGAGTTCCACCTCATAATGACAGATTATTTTGAGTTAATATAGAATTTGCCTTTCCATGAATAATATTGAAAATTTTAGCTTTGATCTATATCTCACTTCTCTGCTGATTTTTAAATATGCTTCAGGTTCTGATGAATCAATGTTGATAGTACGTGCATTACTGGAGGTGGCGTCGCACCCAGAATATGATATTGCTTCAATGACCTTTAATTTTTGGCACAGTCTTCAGATTATCTTGACAAAAAGGTTTACGCTCATGATGCTTTGCAATTGTGTTCTTCTGTATGTTGTTATTGATTGAAGGTATTAATAAATGATCCTTATCTGCCAGGAATTCCAATATTACATACGGTGATGAAGCATCCATTGCTGAGAGAAACACGAGGCTTCAAGCTTTTTGTCCAGCTTATGAGTCTCTTGTATCTTTGGTGAGTGTGCTGGTTTACTGGTATCTATAAAACCTGGAGTAATTCTGCTGAGCTCTAAGCTAAGCTATTGTTTTCAAAACATTAATATAGTGGTTGTCTTATGATTTTACCATCCCTTGTTTTAATTTGAGGGGATTACTTTCTTAAGAATGGGAAATATTTTTTTACCACATTGCTCTTTTCATGATAGGGTAGTAGGTACTCTGGAACCATGCATGTCCTTTATGAACACTTTTGTATCATTGTCCTGTTGGAAATAAAGAGTAATTTTTTGTTATGCTTTGTACTGTTTCCATTCCATCTTGTTTTTAAAAGGAAAGAAACAAGTATTTGTGTTGAGCGAACTTCAACTGAATGGAAAAGAATGAAATTTATAATCCATTTTCTTAGTCATAGTTGTGTGTTTCATAATTTTAAGTCTTTATGGTGCCATGCATTCCTTCGCAGGTTAGCTTCCGAGTTCAATATCCCAAAGACTATCAAGGTCTTTCTTACGAGGACCTCAGGGAATTCAAACAGACTAGATATGGTAATAATTGTTTCCTTTCTTTTGGTTTTTTCATAGTAATATCTATGGAATTGTTTCCTTTCTTTTGGTTTTTCATAGTAATATCTATGGAGTGCTAACCCATTGGAGTTGGCTCAAGTAATAAGGATGGATTTGAACTATGCCTAAGAATGCAGGTTCAGGTCCTTCTATTGTCATTTTGGTGCAAAAAATCCCATTGGGCCATGCCCGCCACCCTTGAAGGTGGAGCTTTGCTTGGTGCTTGCTTATGGGGCAGTTTGTAAGTACCCATTGGATTTGTGGGGCCAAAGGCCTAGATACCATGGGTGTTAAGATACAGCAGCTCCTAAATTTCCTGACATGAGATTTTCTATTAAGATTGGATATTAATGCACACACAAAGATACTGTCTGTCTGTATACATAGGTTTCTGATTCAACTAACAAGTAACAACAATGAATCTGTGGGTGGCCAAAAAAACAAGACTGAGCTTGTGCAAGTTTCTAAATGGTAAATAAACTCTATTATGGACCAGTCCTTGTTGTAGCTGAAGGTGAAGTGTCCTTTTAGTTATTGTTGTTGTTGTTGTTATTATTATTTTGTCTCCAAAACTTCATCATTGTAGATTTGATTTTAAACTTGTTGTAGATAATCTTGATCTCTATAAGTTTGAGTACCATTTAGAGCATTACAAAGCAGCTTATGACTAAATTATTTGCATTTATTGTGGAGTTTGTTAACAGTGTTGCCTAGCATCAATGCTTGGAATTTACTGATGCAGTGGATAGATGTAAATCCTTTATTTTTATCAGAGGCAAGATCTTAAGAACAAAGAAAATATTGTCCTAAATTATGGGTGGCAATTTTTATTACTGGGAAATGGTTCCAAATGCAGTCTTCATATCAATCAAACGACATATTGTGTTTCACTTTTTATCTGATGCGAAGCTTGAAGCATCATCTGCCTATGTGCACAACCATCACTTCAGAAATTGTATTTGGAATTATAAAAAATTTCATTGAGTTTTGTTTTGTAAATATAGGTCTTTTGTGCTTATACTTTGTCCTCAATAATTGTTGCTTCAGCAACTTCTAGCTAGATATTGTGGTACGTTATTTGGAATACACTCCCAATGCAAATGCAAGGAATGAGCTGTCTGTTGCCTCTGACTTTTGCTGATTATGTGCTCCCTCAAGGGTACGATTTGTGCTTGTGTAATTTGAAGAGTTGATTTAAGACTATCTTGTAACTGAAGATGATGGAATTTACTTTGGCCGATTATCAGGTGAACTGTGATTGTTTGCCACTGTACTTGGTGATATTATTATTATTTTTAAATTTCTTAAGTAATAAAAGATTTCATCAGGTGGAAAATCACAAAAACACAAAATTGGAGGGATGAGCTCCCTTCATGCCATAAAGCATAGCTAGTTGTATGGCCGTATTTTTAATTTAACTTCTGTTTTCTCATTTCTTTCTTTGTGTGATTTACTCTTCTGGATGTAAAGGTTGTGAGTTTTCCTTTTTCTTATCTTAAACCTAGATGAGACTCTAACAGAATCTGTAATGGTGCTAGCTGTTGCGGATGTGTTAAGTGATGCAGCCTCTGTATTAGGTGGTGATGCAACCTTGAAAATTCTTTACATGAAGCTTGTAGAGGTCTGTATTATTTGCTTCTTTGTTGTCAATCCTCTCCATTAAGCTTGTTTCATTTATTATTCCAAAAGCATGATCATACTTTTATAGGATTTCAAGGCTTCTCTATCTTTTGCTTTGTTGCTGTCATTCTGTAAGACCCTTTTGCTGAGTTGTGGTTTATTATCTTCTGTGTATCTAAGGCTCTAGCTCACAGTAGAAATGAATGTATTGAATGGCGACCAGCTGAGGCTGCCTTATTTTGCATCCGAGCTATATCACATTATGTTTCATCTGTTGAAGTAGAAGTAATGCCCCAGGTAATCATTATCTCCAATCACAAATGACATTTTTGTGATGCTGTCTCAGGAGCGGGTACTAGATATCAGTTTCCAAAGGGTTCTTAACACCTATCTGTCTCTATTTTTCTTATGTTTGCCTTTTGAGTTGTTGTTAACATGATCTCTTTTGGCCAGAATGATTCAATGCCATTTCACCCATGGTAAATGCATGTATATTCAAATGCATATCTAAATTTTCCTATTAAATTAAGTGATGCATGCTTCAGCTACATTACACGAGTTAGTTGGTGCTGAATATCTGAATTATAGTTTTAAATGTAAGGAATGAAGGATGGAACTTGAAAAATGTTAATTACCTCCTATATATCTTCTATTAGTTGTTAAGCATCCTGAACCAATTGGCTATAGGTGGAGAGGCCCAACTTAAATATAGGGTACCAAACCCCAAACTTAACTGATGTGGATAATACCACTTTGACACTCCTCCCATGTATAAATCCGGTAGAACAAGACAACATGGACTTTACTTGTCATGGACAATGTAGTGCATCCAACAAGAAACAGGGCAACAAACTTGGGCCCTGGTACCATTTTAAGTTTCCAATATAAAACCAATTGAAAATATGTGGAGTGGAGAGGCCCAAGTTAAATATAATATCACAGTAAACCCCAAATTTAACCTATATGGGATAATACTATTTTATATTACCTAATTGGCTTATCTGTGTAGTTTTGATTTACTTGCTTTAATCCATTGAACTAATGGATTTCTCTATAAACTATAGAATATATCATTACTGATTTGCTTTCTCTGTGCAGGTGATGGATTTGCTACCAAAACTTCCTCAACAACCCCAACAACTTCAGACTGGTATTCTACCTCCTATGACTCATCTGTGATATCTGCCAACACACTCTCACACACGTATCCCAAAAGGGGTTTTGGGGATGGTAGGGTTCACTTGTAATAGAAATGGTGAACTTCTCTTTTCTGGGTTTTGGTAGAAAGATATGAGTTCCAAATGTGTTCCCTCATCCAGTTCCTCATAGAGAGGCACGCTTATTTTCTGGCTTCAACTGTTTGATTTATCTGTCATGTTTCTCCCTTTTCAGTCTGCTTAATCATAGGAGCATATTCAAAGTGGCTTGATGCTGCACCAAGTGGTTTCTCTAAGTTGCCATTAGTGATAGATATTCTCATGAGTGGCATGCGTTTATCTGAGGACTCTGCAGCAGCTGCTGCTTTGGCATTTAGGCATATCTGTGAAGGTACGGATTCTGTCTTTTTATCTATCATCTATCATATTCTTTTGTTTATCTGTTTCTGGAGCATTATAGAAACACACATGGTGAACAAGTGCATGTCTTGGAGTCATGGATTATCTATGCTTATGTTTACAAGTTTCTGCTGATTTAAAAGAGTTACTCAGTATGACCAGATGCTTGTATGTTGATGAGAGATATGGCATGTGAAATACATTGCTTTATAATTCTGTTGCACCACTGGTTTGCAAACTCCAAAAACTTCTTGAATATATAGGCTAAAACAGTTTAAATTTTATACTATTATTTTATTGACACTAGGAAGTTTTTGACAAGGAAAGTTTTTGAATCATCTTTTAAGTATTATGTTGTCATTTGAGATAGGATGAAGTTGTTTAGGCCTTTAGGGTTAGGGTGATATCACCAAGGAGAAGGCTGAGGTAAAGAGGATGGGTTTTGTTGACAAGCTCTGGTGTATTTAATGTGATCACAACTAAAGAACTTGAAGTTATTTATCACCTCCTCGAGCAAGAAAAACAATTATCATGCTATATCTATTCTTGGTTCAATGGATGACATGTATGATGTCTTCTATGCTGTACGTGTACTCTTTTGTTTATTTTGTTTGAATACATTGTGTACACATTTGCATGTTAATATACCAACAAAATAAAAATAAAAAATTCTTTGTATCTAACTAAATCCTATTTTATAATTCTGCTTTCAAAAGTGGGTTTCAAATAATTCCTCTTCTCTACAGATTGTTGCAAGAAGCTTTGTCCACATTGCAAAGATCTCTTTCAGATATACTATACAGCAGTTAGTGGGGAGGGTAGTTTTAAGGGCTCTGCTGAGGACTCATTGCACTTAGTTGAAGCTTTGAGGTGTGTTATTTATTCAGCAACTTAAGGGATAAGGCATTGCACTATGGTCTTTAATTTACAGTTTGGCACTTCATTGACTAGCTTTTGTTGAAACATTTTCCAGCATGGTTATTACAGAACTTCCACCAGAACCTGCTAAGGATGCCTTGGAGGAACTATGTTCATCAGTTGTTACTCCTTTACAGGTTAGCTTTATTTTCAATAGATTTTCTTAGTTTAATTTGTTGGTGATGATATCATTTTTATAATGTTGACAACCAGGAAATTATTAATCAAGGCCCAGAAGGGTTGGAGAAGAAACATGCTCGGGAATTATCAGTCTACATTGATCGATTTGCATATATCTTTAGGTATGATGGATATCCTTTCGTTTATGTTCATGGATGCAGTTAGTTTGTTGATGTGTTCTCAAAATGCATCCTTAATCAATTTCAGGTATGTAAATCACCCTGGAGCAGTGGCAGATGTAGTTCATAGGCTTTGGCCAATATTCAAAGCTATATTTGATGTGTAAGTAAATATAGACTATGGCCTAGATAAGTTGTCATGGTTTGACTTTTAGATTGATTCCCATATCTGACTTATGTGTTACATCCTTCTGAGGTAGTCGTGCTTGGGACATGCGGACAATGGAGTCTCTTTGCCGAGCTTGCAAATATGCTGTGAGTATGATAAACCATAAGGGTGTACAAAGGGGAATGTTTTATAATAATTAATATAAAGTATATTAATATACCCTAGCAAAGTCGGGTTTGCTTAAAAAGGATCTCCAAGTACATTATTAATACATCCAAGGGTTTCCTCTGGTATTGTCCAGTAAACATTCTCCAATATATATATATATATATACACATCTTAAACACAAAGTCAACATCCTCTAGTTAACAATGCGCTTAAATTTGTGGGTTTTCAAACAAAATGTAACCTACATTAATTCAGTGAATGTTAGTATTCTTCTATTAGATTTTATTGTTTTACTTTCTCGACAATTCATTTTCTTCATCAATCTTTTTTCGGTTGGGTGTCCCTATTAGAATCATTCAATTCACCACTCAAAAGCATAGAATGTACAGCAGTGGAGGACAGCACCAATTAGCGACAAGTATTTATAATGATTTTGGAAATAAATTCCTGCTTTTATGATTACTAGGAGTGAAACAATAGCAATATTATTATTTAACTCAGCCAATCCATCTTGAAGGGCAGGTCATGTAGAATCTCTTGAGATGTTGTTATAATTATGTAGTTTTCAGTGAATCTTTTTCTTTTTCTTTTTTATCAGCAAAGAAAATTTTTATTCGTATTGAGTACAAATGGTACTCTTAACCCTTACAGCATTTTCATTGAATCCTTGTTTACTGTTGTTTTCTATTGTATCCTTAAGTTTCAAAAAAAATAATGATAATAATTCTTATTAGCAGTTATTTCTGAAAGTAATCATTGTTACTAAGTGTTGTCAATATTTAAAATTTTCTTCAGGTGAGAACTTCAGGAAGGTTCATGGGAATCACAATTGGAGCAATGCTAGAAGAAATTCAAGGCCTGTATCAACAGCATCACCAACCATGCTTCCTTTATCTCTCTAGTGAAGTTATAAAGGTATGTTCTTCCTTCATATTGCCAAGTGCCAACTATATTCTGCTTTATTTGGTTAAAATGTTGAGATGTCACTGCCTCTTGGACTGCAGATATTTGGTTCTGACCCTTCTTGTGCGAGCTACCTAAAAAATATGATTGAAGCACTATTCCAGCATACCATATGTGTTCTCACTAATATAAAAGTATGGTTCCAGTAGAGCTTAGTATTTCTTTAAATTTGGCAATTCCATCGCTTTCTCTATTCTGTTGGCTGGATCATCACCAAGAAAAAATGTCATTCACTTCATTCTTAATATCTGGATCCTTCTGCTGCAGGAATTCACTGCAAGGCCTGACATAGCAGATGATTGTTTCTTGTTAGCATCAAGGTGTATTCGCTATTGTCCTGAGTTATTTATTCCTTCTGCTGTATTTCCATCTTTGGTGGATTGCTCAATGATTGGGATCACGGTACAGCATAGGTCTAGCCTCTCTCTCTCTCTCTCTTCCTCTCTCTTTGTTTGTGTGGGCTGGATGGTGCATGCATGTGAATAGGCATGTGTTGATTGCATTTGCATTCTTTTCTAAATCTGTATTCTCCTGCATGCATGTCTTTAGTTATCCTTTTCAATAAGAAACTTGTGCTGTTATAGAGTTGCGATGGTTAAAAAAAAAAGGTTCAACTTTTATCTGTATAATTTTTTCTTTTTTTTGGAAAATTTAGTAAACATCTTCACATTTTCCTGCAGAGAGGCTTCGAATTCCATATTGACCTTCTTATCCGATGTCTTTGATCTTGCAAAATCTTGTAAGGTAGAACAGTTGTTATCAATAAGGGATAGTGTGATTATTCCTCGAGGTGCTACCATTAGCAGAATTTTGGTTGCATCATTAACAGGAGCACTCCCAAGTTCTCGATTAGAAACGGTAGTTCCTTCTGCTTTATCATATTTTTCAGCTTTATGGACATTGCCAAAACAATGGTTGAGGAAACAAGTTAAATCCTCATTGGTTCAGATTTAACAAGACTTACGTACAATTACAGGTAATGTATGCACTTCTGGCATTGACTCGAGCTTATGGAATGCAAGCAGTGGAGTGGGCAAAGGGGAGTGTTTCATTGATCCCTTCAACTGCTGTCAAGGACGTTGACCGTTCAAGATTTTTACAAGCATTATCAGATGCTGCTTCTGGGACCGACATTAACACCATAATGGGCCCAGTTGAAGAGTTGTCTGATGTCTGTCGCCGCAATCGGACGGTTCAAGAGATTGTCCAAGGAGCACTGAAGCCACATGAGTTGAATTAGGCACTTGTATCATGGTTGAAACCCAAAAGCAATAGTTGAGGGGCCATTTTTGCATAGGCCGCTGTCTTGTCTCTTGTAGTATTATCATACATTCATTCATCTTTATGTATCATTTAATTTTTTGCCTTTTTTAGTTGAGTATTTGCATTCATATTGGGGAGAGAATGATGGACCTTTTGCATCAAATATTGGAGTGCCTGATTACATGTTGGCTTCAATTTTGGGGTGAAATTATTGATATAGAGTTTGAGTTTATTGTTGTTATTAGGAAGAGGTTTTGAGTTTTGCATGTGATGTGAAAATATTCGCTCTATTTTTAGGTGAGTGATGTATTCGTGGCTTTTAAAATATTGATTTTTTTAAATAATTATTTTTTTATTTTATATTTATTGTAAATTAATTACTATTTTTTATTTTTTAAATATTTATTTCTCAATCTTAACTTTATTGTTAACTTGCAAATTTTGTTAAGTAATAAATATTAATTATTTTGTTATTTACTTAATTAGTAGTTATAGTTATTAATTACTTTTAATTATTAAATGAAATAGAATTAATATTTTTTAAAAAAATTTAAAAATTTAAGTCTATTACCTTATTCACTTTTCTGATTATTAACTAGTGGATTTTCCTGGTAAATAACCCACCCAAGGTCCCAAAACAGCTAGAACAGATAATGAAGAATGAAAATTTACACGCCAATTTTGTTGTTCTTCGCTTGTTGCCTACTTACTGCTGTACCTTCCAGACTAATTTGACATAATCCAACGATGGAAAAGTGTTTTACAATTTATATTAGATTGTAAAATATAAATTATTAAATAATAAATAAAGTTCTTAATATTAAAAATATTTTTTTCATTAATAGTTTATTTTATAATGTGATATAGTCTAAATTGTAAAATAATGAATTTATCTTACAAACCACTCCGTTGGCTAGCCCATCAAAACACTTCAGAAGTAATGGACGTTACTTGTTGAATTGTTTGTATCTAAATTGTAAACAAGAGTTTCTAACTTATGTTTTAAACAAAATTTTCATTACTTCTTAGGGTATGTATAATAAAAAATAATTAAAATACTCACTTTGATGTTATACCATCACAATTAATAATATTTTATGTAAATTTACATTAACTCTTAAGAGAAACATCTTAGTAATATATTGATTTAGCCTATTGTTTTAGTAATCATTATCCTTTTGTAAAAAACTCTTTATTTATGTTTAAAGATGTGGGGTTTGAACTTCATTCCCAATATTTAAAAAAATATTTAACTTTTAAATAAAATGCTTATTTTTTTAATTTATTTATTTAAATATAATTTTTTTAAAATTATATTAATACTATTTTATTTAATTCTTTAAAAACAGTTTGAATTAAAATTTTTTTACAAAAAAATTGGGCAGCCGGTGGATCATTTTTGATCCAACGACATGAATGGAAAATGTGCACCGCATGACCGCGCACATGCAATCTCCCTTCAAAGTTGTTTTAAATGATAAAAAATGAGAAGAGAATAAAATAAAGTTGTCTCATAAAACGTTTCTAATACGGAGAAAATATATAAATAAAATATTAATTTTATATTTTTATTTGAAATTGTTAAT